GACAAATAGAGTTATAAGCTATCATAATAAGATAATATCATTAATTAAAAGAAGTTGACAAATAGAGTTATAAGCTATCATAATAAGATAATATCATTAATTAAAAGAAGTTGACAAATAGAGTTATAAGCTATCATAATAAGATAATATCATTAATTAAAAGAAGTAAGTAAGCGTAGAAGAAAAGTTTAAATTAATTTATTTCGGAAATTTAAAAATTTTTTCTTATCAGTTAGAAAGTTTTTTTTCCTCTTCCTTCCATTTTATTCTCATAAAGGATTTTAATAATAATAATTGAAACTAAAAATTATATCAAAGATGATCCAAAAAAATTCTCACTAAAGAATAATTCTGATTAATGTGACTAGATCCTTCCTTTATGATTGATTTGATTGATGATAAGCTCATGAAACTTTTATTCATCTTTTATCCCAATTAGTTATCTCGAACATATCAAATTTATTATCCATCCCGAAAATTTGTAGCCTTTCATGCAAATTAGTCAAGAAACCATCAATTAAAACTAACCGAATCGATTCTAAAATTGAAAACTTTTAGTGGAATCAATTCTTATACATTGAACGTTTGGTTGTTAAAAACTAAAAGGTTAAAATCATATGTCAAATACTAATGTGACTGTCCCAAGATTTACTTGGAATTGTCAAACCTTATACTTTGACATCTCCATGTATACCAGTTCATTTGCATAATACTTTTAGGCATTTAAAATATGTTTTCTCTTTTCAATATTTCAAAAGTTGAAAATTTCATTTCAGTTATTTAAATTGATGACTTTAAATTTCTCGTCTTTTAACAGAAAATGAAATGAAATTTTACTCAATTTGTCACCCAAATATTAACTTAATTTATAATAATTCAATTATATGTATACAAATAATGTTAGCATTTAAATTCATTTCATTAAACATTACATTTTACCAAATTTCAATAAATATCCATTTTACTATAATTTATTAATAGCTGAATCGATACACATCACATTAAACGTAATATACGTATTTGCGTACTTAAGTCTATTTAATTCAAATATTAATTATTCAATTAATCTGTCCAAGGCATTTTTCCTCTCCTTCCATTTACCATGCCATTGATTATAATAGTATTACTCATTCATACAAAAAAAAATGTAGCAGCTGTAATTGTGACAAAGAAATAATTCACCCCAGTCCTGTCATCATCATTTCAATTGATGTCATTCAATTTTTGACATGTGACAGATGTATCTCATAGACATTTGTTCAAACATTTAAGAAATAATATTTCCGATAATTTGACAGATTTTCATGCAGTCTTACCATTTCTAGAAATAAGCAATAAAAAAAAAAAGAAAGAAAGAAAGGAAAAGTAATGAAAGAGAATTTTAGGAATGATGATTTGAAAGGACACAGTGGCGCATTTCTACCTGCGCAATTAACTTTTCCCGGAACGAATCACTTAAATCAGTAATTAATAAATGCTATAACAACGGAATGAATATGATACCTTTGTCATATTTAACACAGAATTATTTTTGATGGAATTTGTAATTTTTGATATTATGAAAATCTATTAAATACTGATTGATTGCGAATTTGTATATTTTTATGCTAAATTTATTTTGAACATATTGTGCAAAAAACACTAAAAACAAGTATTTCAGTTGTCTAAATTTCAAATTTTTAACCAAAATCATGATAGAAATGAAATTGGAAATTTTTATCAAATTTGAATTCATTTATTGAATTTTATACAACAGAATTGATTTACGAAAAGTTATGCTGAATTATTCGTAAAATTTAAAATAATCTATACATAAATTTAAATTACAACTGTTATTGTATTCAATCGGAAATGATAATGATGAAATTTGAACGATGCATCACAGTTCGAAGGTTAACGCATATGCAGATAACCTTTTAAGTGACCTGCTTATTAACAGGAAAGGATAACAGAATGCCGGTAGGAGTGATCACTTTTGTTTTTTCGACATTTTATAATTAAACGATGTATGTATATCCCTTAATTAATTATTAGTCAATTGTAGCATTATTTTTGTCATTTATTTATCAATTTAATAGAAATTTGAATATTTGATTTGAAAATTTCTTTGCTTAAAATTACTTCAAAATGTTATCATACACGAAGAACAACAAGGATTCCACGATAATAAATACCGAAATGATAATGAAAAAATGACAAACTGACTGATAAGATAACGGTAAGAAGCAAAAAATTTTTAACATCCAGTTGAAATTATAAAACATACTATCAACTATTACCAGTTGAATTATTATTCTCAAAATAACAAATAGTAAACAATGAAAAATCAATTTCAATTTTTAAAAAAGAAAAAACAAACCCAATTCTTTGTTTTAATAAATAATTTCCACCCTTCCCTTTGTTTGATTTTCCTTTTTTTTTCTAATATTTTGATTGTATTAAATGTTAAATGTTTGCTGATAATTAAGTTCCGATATTATTATTATTATTATTATTATTATTATTATTATTATTATTATTATTATTATTATTATTATTATTATTATTATTATTATTATTATTATTATTAT